TTATTTATTTTTATTTATTACATTTATTTATTGTGTGTGTGTGTGTGTGGCCAGCTCAGCCCACCAGGGGGCGGGGCTGGCTGGCATGTGGTGCTGGGGGTTCAAACCGCGGTCCCTGTGCTTTGCCAAGCTTGTTTCAAGTAGGTGCTTTAGACCACTGAGCCATCTCTCCAGCCCCCCAGTCTTCTAATACATTATGATGCCTTTAGGATAGTTTACCCCTAAGGTACTTTTAATTATCTTTATCATAAATCATGTCACGTGGTGTCTTAGCAGCTGTGACGAGGCATGAGGGTATGAAACTAACACTAAACCTCACCTCTTGAGGTGAGGACTGAGCAGGTAATGGCAGGCAGAACAAAGGTACGGACTTTGGGCAGCTCTAGCTTTTGGAGCAGCCCTGGTAGCTGCAAACATTGATGTCTGGTGGCCTTGTGCGGCTCAGCTGGCAGAAGCCACTTGTTTATGACAGCCGTCTTTTCAACAGTTTATATCAGAACATACTTTTGAGGAGCCTGCAACTAACTTAGTTTGAAGAGATCATGGTGAAGTGGGAAATTCCATTGAGGAAACAACAGTCTAGAATCCTAATCTGGCTCTTCTAGGGACTCATGGCAGGACTTTGAGCAAGTTGTTAAATCTCTCTAGACTTAGTTTCTTATTTATAGAGTGAATAAAGATAACAGGTTGTGAGTCTATACTTGTATGGATGATTGGTGTCACATGTCTCACTGATGTAGAAATGGGGATGGGAACATTCAGTCACACAAAAGCATACTTACTGAAATTCTTGAGCACAGATTATTGACGGGAGGACTTCAGTTTGATCCTCGCTGAACTTGGATGTTAGGAAAGATGACTACTGAAAGGCATCCTTTACATTAAAGAAGTGTACAATGGTAAGGATGGAACGTATAAAGAAGGTAAGTTTTTGATTTCAAATCACATTATGTGAACTGTTACAGAGGGAAGGAACGTAACGGGAGAGGGATCGGCACTCTTTTTTGGGGGAAATCATGTTCAGAACCTGCAGAAATAGAAGTCAGCCCGGAAGAGGTGATAGGATGGAGAAGACCTCAGTTGCAAGGAATCCAGGAAGGTGGGGCATGCAACAGAAAAAGGAAATGAGCTGAAATTCGATCATTGTAAACAAAGAGAAGTTTACAGATGCCACTGGAGGTTTCAGTCAAATGACTGAGTACTCAGACAGGACTGGAGATAAGGTATCTATTCTGGCTGGTGCTTCCCTGAAATTCTGTATCATTTCTAATTTTTAATTCCCATTGTTTTGTATTAAAAATAATAAAAAATTATTAGCAAATTTTAAAAATGTGCTAAACTCACTCCCTTCCCCGTCACTTCCTTAGCCTTCTTGGTTGCTGTCTGCTGCCTCCACCTCGCTACTCACCCATTGCTGTCCATAGCTGTCCTCCAGGTTATTGGAGAAGGGATCGTCCCACTCCTGGCGGATGCTCAGCAGATCAAGAGGCTTAAAGCCATTCTCAGCCATGACCACGAAATAGGTGAAGAATCCAGCCAGAGCCTGGATCATCCCTGTAAGAGGCAGAGCCGTAGGACAGTCATGGAAGGTGCCCCAAAGGCAGTCCATCCGAGGGACGGAGGCTGGGCCCTGCATCTGTTGGACTCGTGTGTGTCTGCGCAGGTGTGAAGATTCTTGCCTTCCACAGCTAATCCCCCATCTAAGGGATTTGTCCTCAAGCTCCGACACTTATTTCTAAACTCTAACCCAGTGTCATCTTTGAGTCATATCATCTTAAAACTGAAAGAGCTGGACAACTCTCCTTCCTCTGACATTAGGACATTTACAAAATGTTAGCCTCTTGTCTACTATTTACCTTTTGACTTTCCCTTAGTCAAAACTTCAGTCTCCCTTGCCGGGGCCATAGTGGTGATTGATGTTAATGTTTGCGTCCTAACCTGAGAGCTGTGCACTGTGTGGGTACAGACAGTGGACACAGGTCATCACAAGGCTCAACTGTCATCTCTGTCTCATGATTGCGAAAACTGGAACACACACAAAACCCAGTTATTGTCCAGGATTATACAGTTAAGAAGTGGTGAAATTCAGATTCAAACATAAGTCTGAGTCCTAAGCCTGTGCTTTTTCTACAGATTCCTCTCATAGATGTTGGGATGGCTTCTCTTGTTCCCAATCTCTACTCTGTCCATCCCTTGCTCTGTTCCTGAAACACACTGATGTATCTGGCAACAAAGGCCTCTAATGGCACCCAAGTGTCTTTCCAGGCTGGACCCAATACAAACGCTATCTATATCTATAGCCTTGTTTTCCACTACTGCCTTATGGAGACCAAGAGTGCCATCAAGACGGTCTGTTTATTCTTCTCTAACAATGCCATAAGCTTCCCTTTGCTGCTCTCCACATCTGTCTAGATACAGCGCTTAGTTAAAGTCCTTATCCTCCAATACCAAGTTCAAGTTCTATTTCTTCCATAAAACTCTCTGCCCTTAAAATTAGTGAGCTTGCTAGCTTTGGGTTTGCTGATTACATGGCATGTAGAAAGATGCTACCATTGTAGATACATGTGCTCTTTTTGACTGGGCCCTATATCAAGGGCAGCTCAGAGATCAACAACTCATTGTGTTGCTAAGGCCCAGAGCATTTTGTGTTTGGGAAAACCCCTCCCTATTTTCAAGCAGAGCTGGCTCCGATGGGCAATTGTTCTCCTCTTCCTCCCTGCCTCACTGCTTTGCACTCACCAATCTGTCCATAGGCCATGCCAATGAGACGGCGATTGACAAGATTATCAGTTTTGGGGTCCCGTGGATGCCTCTGCATGATGTCACTTTCTGGGTTCTCATAAGCCAGGGAGATAGCAGGTACCTGGAGGTTAGAGGGATGGAATGATGGAGTCACAAAGTTCAGAAGGAAACTCAGGAAGAGCTGCAGCACTGCCCACCCCACGGTCAAGCTTTCTCCTACTCCTAATCTGTCTCACAGGAGTTTGCTGAGCCAGGCTTCAGCCTGATCCTCACCATGTCTGTGCCCAGGTCAATGCAGAGGATTGTAATGGTGCCCAGAGGCAAGGGGATCCCAAGGATGATGAACATCAGAAAGGGGGTGATCTCAGGAATGTTGCTGGTCAGGGTGTACGCGATGGATTTCTTCAGGTTGTCAAAGATGAGACGACCTGTGAAGGAAGGCCAACCTTCCATGAGGAACACTGAAAGGATCTATGTCCAGTGCCTGGGCAGGCAGACCACCACAAAGATGTGTCATGGTCCGTGAGAAGGCCTGGAAGTCCTAGACATTGGCAGTCCTGATTTTGTCTCAAAATTGTGTAATGATTAATTAGAGCCACAATTTAGTAGCATGTCCTGACTGTACTCAAAATGTCTAATGTTACTGATCTCTGAAAATGTAGCAGATGTAGCCCTAGTTAATCCTGAGGTGTCTGAGAATACCAGTATTAAAGCTTTTACAAGATTAAGCCTGAAATGGAGAGGGCCTGGACTTGGGACAGATGGGTATGAATCTTATTTTCTGCCATAACCAGCTTGTGACCTTGGGTACCTCTTATCTCTCTGACCATCATTTCTCTTGTGCTGCAAGATTGCTGGGTCTTTTCTTGGGTATCCTTTCAAAGACTGTAACCCCTCCCTGCATTCCATGTTTTATTTTTTTCCATTGCATTTAACATAGTATGTAATTTGCATAGTATGCAGACAGTAGTCTATCTCTTTGCACTAGAAATTAAGTTGTATGTGGGCAGGGATTCATGCATTTTTCTCCCACCACTGTATTCCCAGTTTGTAGAATAGTACCTTGCATGCACAGCCAGTACTTAAAAGAATTTTTGAACTGAATAGCTATTTGAAGTTAGGATCACGGGCCAGGGAGATAGCTCAGTAGAATAAGCACTTGCCTGGCAAGTGCAAGGTCCTGAGTTCAATTCCAGGTGCCACAAAAACAAACGAACTAAAGTTAGGATCATACTAGGTTTCAATAAAGTGTAACCATTACTATTATGTGGGCTGTCATGTTTTAGTAAAGTAGCTTCAAATAGAAAGTAGGGAACTTGAGCAAAGCATTCTAGGGCTTTCCTGTTCACCAATGGGTACTCTCCTTTGGCATTCTCTGGGAAAGAGGGTGCTTAATTGGGTTTACGCAGTCAACTTCGGGATAGTTTCCAACCAATAGTGATGTGTCACCATCTGTGGAGGCCCTGCTGAAGACTATAGAGTGTGGCAGCTTCCCAGGGCTGAAGGTACACGCATGTTCTCGATATGCCTGAATCCCAGTGAGAGGACAAAGAGGATACTCTCTCATACGTCAAAGTCCTGGCATCCTTGGCAAATCTGGATTTTCTTCCAATCTAATAAAAAAGTGATGATTTGCAGGACACATGAGAGCTTCAACCTGTGGGCCCAGCTCGAGCAGGTGTGGAGCTTTCCTGGAGCCATTTAAGAACTTTGGCAGACTCTGGACAGCCTGCAGGACTCTATCTGGGTGATTACTGGGAGCTTCAAAAATGCCAAAACACAGGAGCAAAAGGCAATCTCAATCCTCTAGCCCACGCAGAGCAAACCCAGGAGAGAAAGATGCACAAAATCTTGGAAATCACACACCTGAAATCTCTGAAATGATATCAACTGAAGTAAAGAAACAAGTCCTTCAGCCTATAGAAGAAATAAGAGCAGAAATAATCTCTCAGGTACAAAAAGAAAGGATAAAAGTCATGAAAGAATTGCACAGCACAGCTATAGAAGACATAGATAGAAAAATAGAGGAGAACAGAAAAATGATGCAAACACTGAATGACCAATACAGGAAAAAATTAGAATGCACAAAACAGATTCAAACAGCTATCCAGGATATTAAGAATTCCATTGAAAGCTGGCAAAACTGCTTGAAGAAACTGAAGATAGACTTTTAGACCTAAAAGACAGTGTTGCAGTTAATGAATGTGAAGTAAATAAAAGATCTCTTAAAACTAACAAGGAATCAGGAAATAACAATTCAGCATCTACAAGATGATGCAAAGAAAAATAATATAAGAATAATAGGTGTTAATAAAATTAATAAAAGAAGAAGAATACGTGTCAGTGAAGCAGAAGGAGACAGCAGAAATGACATAAAAAAGATTATTTGTAGAAGTACTAGCAGAAAGTTTTTCAAACATGAGAAAAGAACCTGACATACAGATAAGCAAGGCAAATAGAACTCCACACAGCCATAATCACAATAATCTACACCTAGACACATGATGATCAAGTTCTCAGAAATTCAGCAATAGAATAGAATACTAAAAGTTTCTAGAGAGAAGAAACAGATCACCTATAATGGAAAGCCCATCAGAATCATGGCAGATTTCTTATCACAAATCGTCAAATCAGGAAGAGCTTGAAGTGAAGTATTTCAGATCCTGAAAGAAAATAACTTCCAGGCCAGATTGAGGTACCCTACAAAACTATCTGTCACATTAAATGGTGAAATAAGATTCTTGGTGACAAAGAACAATTGAAGAAATTCATGACCACCAAGCCAACCCTAAAAAGAGTAATGACAGATATTCTAGAAAGAGATAGAAGTGATCACAGATTCGAGAACAACAGAAAGGAACTGCCAAACAGACCAAGTAATTAAAAAGAGAGAAAAATTATGGAACCTATGCCAGGAAAATAATATGACAAAGATAAGCCAATATGTATCAGTTATAACCATCAATGTAAATGGCCTCAATTCACCAATCAAAAGAAATAGACCAACAGATTGGATTAAGAAACAGAATCCAACAATATGCTGCATACAAAAACACACTGAGCTCAAAAGGAAATTCACAGACTAAAAGTCAAAGGATGGAAAATAGTCTTCCATGCAGAAAAAAGTAGGGCTAGCTATCCTGGTTGCTGACAGGATCAACTTCAAACCAAAAATCATCCAAAGAGATAAAGATGGTCGCTACACATTTGTTAAGGGAAAACTGCAAATGGAAGATATAACAATAATAAATATATATGCACCCAATGTGGGAGCACCCCCCTACATAAGACAAATTTTCACAGATATGAAAAATCAAATAGTCAATAATACAATAGTGGGGCTAGTGCGATAGCTCAGTGGTCTAAAGCACCTACTTAGAACAAGTTTAGCAAAGCACAGGGACCGTGGTTCAATCCCCCAGCACCACATGCCTGCCCGCCCCACCCCCTGGTGGGCTGAGCTGGCCACACACACACACACACACACACACACACAAATAAATAAATAAATAAAAATTAAAAAAATACAATAGTAATGGGGGAGTTTAATACACCACTGTCACAGAGAGATAGATCAACTAGGGGAAAAAAAAATCACCAAAGAAAAAACAGAACTAAACCAAACTTGTAAAGAAATTGGCTTGGCAGACCTTTATAGAGTGTTTCACCTAGCAACAATACAATACACATTTTTCTCAGCTACACACAGGACATTCTCCAAAACAGACCATATACTAACATACAGAACACTCTTAAGTAAATGCAAAGCAATTTAATTTATCCCTTGCATACTACCTGATCACAGTGCAATAAAACTAGAAATCATTGACAAAAGAAAGATCAAGGGGCCAGGGAGATAGCTCAGTGGAATAAGTGCTTGTCTGACAAGTACAAGGTCCTGAGTTTGATCCTTGGTAACACCAAAAAAAAAAAAAAAAATCAAAAACAGCATAAACACATGGAAATTAAATAACAACTTCCTAAACAACCAGAGGGTCACAGATGAAATTAAAGAAGAAATGAAAAAATATTTACAATCAAACAAAAATGCAGATACAACTTACTGAAACCTATGGGATACAATGAAAGCTCTTTTAAAAGGAAAATTTATAGTGGTAAATTTGCACATTAGGAAAACAGAATAATAATAGAACCATCAATAAAACCAAGCACAAAACCCACATGATCATCTCAATAGATTCAGGAAAAGCTTTTCACTAAGTCCAATACTCATTCCTGATAAAGACCCTACAGAGAAGTGAATTAGATGGTTTATATCTTAACTTGATAAAAGCCATCTATGAGAAACCAACAGCCAACATCATACTAAATGGACAAAATAAATAAATAAATAAATAAATAAATAAATAGGCAAAAACTGAAGGGCTTCATGTTAAAATCAGGAAAAATACAAGGTTGTCCATTGTCTCTACTCCTACTCATCATAGTTCTGGAAACATTAGCCAGAGCAATTAGACAATAGAGAGAAATTAAGGGAATAGGATTGGAAAAGAAGAAGTGAAATTATCATTGTTTGCAGATGACATGATACTCTACATAGAGGACCCAAAAAACTCCACCTAGGGTCTTGTAGGTTTAATCACCAAATTCAGCAATGTAGCAGGATACAAAGTCAATATCCAAAATCAGCAGCATTTTTGTACACAAAGAATGAACATACTGAGAGAGAAATTAGGGAAAACACACCTTTCACAATAACATCCCTCAAAATGAAATGCTTAGGAACCAATCTCACAAAGAATGTAAAAGATTTATATAGTGAAAATGATGTTACTCTGAGAAGAGATTGAAGCAGTTTTGAGAAAATGGAAAAATATTCTATGCTCTTGGGTAGGAAGAAACAACGTTGTGAAAATGACCTTACTCCCAAAATTGTTATACAGATTCAGTACAATCCCAATTAAGATACCATTGGTATACCTCACAGAGCTAGAGAAAACATTCATCAAATTCATTTGGAACCAGAAAAGACCCAGAATATCAAAATCAATCCTGGGAAACAAAGGAAAGGCAGGCGGTATCACAATCCCTGACCTGAAATTATACTATAAAGCTACTGTGATAAAATCAGCATGATACTGGCATAGAGACAGACCTGAGGAGGAGTGGAACAGATTAGAAAATGCAGACACAACTACAAACACAGTCAGCTACCTTATCTTTGATAAAGGGGACAAACAGGTCACTGGAGGAAAGATAGCCTCTTTAATAAATGGTCCTGGAACAACTGGCTTTCCAGATGCTGAAGGCTAACACCAGGCCCATGCCTATCACCATGCACAAAGCTACAATCAAAACGGATTAAAGATTTAAATATTAAAACAGAAACACTAATTCTTCTGGTGGAAAATATAAGTAGAAATCTCAAAGACATAGGAGTAGGTAGAGAGTTTGTGAAGAAAAACCAAACTGCACAGGAAATACGTCAAGGAATCAACAAATGGGATCTCACCTTTTTTTTTTTTTTTTTTTCCCAGAACAGGGGATTGAATTTAGGCCCTTGTGCTTGCCAGGCAAGCGTTTATTCCACTGAGCCATCTCCCTGACTCCCCAGGGATCTCATCTTTTTGAAAAGTTTCTGTACTTCAAGAAAATCTCCAACAGAGTAAAAAGAAAATCAACAAATTGGGAAAAAAGTTATAACCATTCTGTCCCTCAGACAAAGGCCTTCTATCTAGAACATATAAATAATTTTTTTTTTTTTGGCAGAACCGGGGATTGAAGATTTTTTTTTTTTTAAATCAAGCTGCCCAAATTCAAAGACCCAATCCAAAAAAGAGTATCTGAGATGAATGCACATTTCTCAGGGGAAGAAATACAAATGGTAAGTAACTATATGAAAAAATGTTCAACATCATTGGTCATTTGAGAAATGTAAATTAAAACAACACTGAGATTCCATCTCACCCCAGAAAGAATGGCTAACATCAAGACGTAACCAGGGCCAGGAAGATAGCTCAGTAGAATAAGCACTTGCCTGGCAAGTGCAAGGTCCTAAGTTCAATCCCCAGTATTGAAAAAAAAACACACCCACACAATTTGTTAAAATAGAAGAAGAAGAAGAAGAAGAAGAAGAAGAAGAAGAAGAAGAAGAAGAAGAAGAAGAAGAAGAAGAAGAAGAAGAAGAAGAAAGAAGAAGAA